GGTCCTGATGTCCATCAGCTCTCACAGAAAGCCATGACATTCATTGAAGTGGTTCTCAATCCTACCTTATTTAGGGTCAATAACATGTTACCACACCCTAAGTACCACATTCAATCTAACCAAAATTTTGGCCACCCTAAAAAGTCATGGGACAAACTTTGGACCACTGTTTTTTGATGTATTTTCACCTGTAGCATCTGAATCAAGTGTTAGTTTGCCCTTGCCCCAAAAAAGTCATGGGAATCCAGAATCAAAATCATTGTGTTTGTCTGTCCACAACTGTACCACAGAACATGATAAATAAATAGTGTAATAAAATATCAATATCCTGTTCCACCATGGAGCATTATAAACTGTGAAGTAAGCATGTTATATGTAGAGGTGTTGTGAAGGTTCTGAGCTGTACAGTTATTGTCAGACTGCTGCCTACTGCAAATACAGTGTTGAACTCCCCATTTCTTGCATGAACTGCCTTGTGCTCTTTCACTTTCAAAAGTGGACTGGGGACATTCATGAGTGGTGGGGGGGCTATCAGAGGCTACTCTTTCTCTAGTCAGTCAGGGCAACCATGGAACCATGGATTTTGGACTATCCTGTTCTACCACAGAACATTATAATGTGTGTCATCAATGTGTTGTTGCAAGAAAAAACAACAAAGGACACAGAATACTCAAGTATAAAAAGTCAGGTGGCACATATCATAACTGACTGAGGTTTATTCCATGAGATAAGATCATGTGACAGCATGTGATGAGGTGGTTGAGCAAGGACAAGCAGTGATAGCATTGATGGTTACAGATGCCACTTATCATGTTCTGTGGTACAACAGGACACTTTAATATACTCTTTATTTATCATGTTCTCTGGGAGACAAATCAGTGTGATTTGATTGAAAATATTTAGCATGTTAATATGGAATCTCAGTAGCATGTTTTTGCACATAACAAATATTGTTTTAAATGTCATGTTTATGAAGTAAACATTGAGCCAATAATGTGATGTTTTGTGGGTCAACATTGAAAGACTTGGTTAAAGGTTATTAGTATTATCACATACAAAACATTTATCATTTACTTGTGATGTTCTATGTAACATCACACATTCTCTAATGAGTGTGTTTAAATTATTTCACGTTGCAACATTTGATTAATCAATTACATACCATGCAGAAAACAGTACTAATGTTTTTTTGATGATTGTTTTTGGTTTTTGGTGGTGGGTCATAGTAATTGTTTGTCACCAGCAAAACATTGGAAATCTACTGCGCCATGTTTTCTGTCAGAAAAGCCATTCAATACATAAGATTATTTCCACTTGTTCAAGCAGAGAGCATGTGATAAAATAGAGTATCTTTTAAAAGAATGTTTTTTTGCATGTTTGTGCAAAGAAAATTGTAAAATGCTTGCTGTGATTTGATTGCCTACTGCAACAAAAATGTCATCAGAGACAGACTCTCAATATCAACCTTGCCATCATGGTCACCCTCATTTGATTGTAATTGCATTTGTGATTGTGTCTGCCACTTATATCACCACATCTAAACAGCTGATGGGCCTTTTGTTTGACATGTAATATTCCAGAAAACCACAACACAGTATCACATTGGAAGATAGCTAAAATATAATCATGGTGGCTAATGAATGACCTAAAGATGCATAGTTGATTAAATTAAACATGTATGGGGTTAATATGCGACCTACCAGTAGTAATGGGTATGCAGTGTTGGAAGGTGCATATACCTAAATACATGACAAATTTGAGGGATCTTCCACATGGGGGGAAGCCTTCCACAGGTGAAAATCAGGAATGGACAAGTGACAATAACAATTGACATGCATCAGTTATTAATTGCAGTTGCAAAAATGAGTGACTTGGCAAAAAAAAAAAAGAAAAGAACTGACATAATCACCACAGCAGCAGCAAGATACACATCAGCAGATAACAATGGTAACAATCATGAGGACCTGGATATGCATGGTTAACTGGAGGAGCTGTAGATTGTTCATGCTTACAGTAAATCTATATGAACATTTGAACTACTGTCAATAGTAACCTTTTCAAATTTAATTTTCACATTGATTGTCACATCATACCATCTTCTCAAAGAACTATTATTAATAGTGACATAACTCTAATATTATGGGTGTCTACTGCTACACTATCTTTAGTGGTGGACTGCAAGCAAAGACAGTTAATAGGTTGCAAAGTACAAAGAGCTGATGAGTGGCTTACCTGTTGGGGATGGAAAGAGAGAAAAGTTGTTGTTGATATACTGAATGCAACTCACAGTCATGTGCATGTGTTGTGTGATGTGCAATTTTGCTGTGGCTACCATGTGACTATGAGTTGCATTCAGTATATCAGCAGTGAGCTTTCTCACAAACACCTTTGTCCTTCTTTCCACAGGTAAGTGGCCAATGTTGACTGCTACTACAGACTAACTGCACCCACAGCAATCAACACAATTATGCCAACATTCCAAACATCAAATACAAAGATAGATATAGTAGCTAATCTGTAATGGTTTGTAAAGAATTGGTTATGAGCAGCATAGAATTTTGAATATGCTCTGAATACAAGAAAGACTGAAAGGTTGTACCTTCAGGCTACTGTTATTTTATTGCAACAGGTCTGTAAGAATTGTTGTCTGCATTGTCACTCACCAAAGATGTCTGTGCAGGTCCCTGTAACCTGACATGCAATTCTGTGACATTGCATACCTGTCACCATACAGGTAGGTTACATACTAACTCTGCCTACATGTTTAGCAGCCATTGTGGTGATGATTTTCATTGTTTTCCAATCCAAATGCAAGTTTCCAAACAGCTTGATGACCAATTGACAATGTTGCAAAGTTAGAAACCCAATGTCATCAAGATGTGCATGAGTGAGTCCAACCTTAATCCAAATGTGGCTCCAATCCATATTGTCTAACATCTACAATAGCAGACCTCCCATTTGTTCTTTCCCATGTCCTTGCAGCAGTCCCTCACTTGTCAAAATGCATTGGTTATTTGCTGCCCTTCATGGCACCTGACAACAGTGTTTACCTCATTCCTGTGACACTTCCCATTGATACAGCTCTTCCCTCGAGTGAAAACAAAAGTGCACTTGTTGAAGTGGTTGTCAAGTTGGTCTTCACCATTACAAATAAGGCTAGTGTCAAGCCAGGAGTTATGTCCCTTCCATATATAGTGTGAAGGGGGGGGGGGCTTGTGGTAAATTCAGTCCCTACTCCTACAACCAGTGTGAGTTGATAACCCCTGCAGTGAACATTGAATTGACTGTTGATGATTCAGCATGCTTCCTGCTCAAGAAGAGAGGTGCTTCATAAGTTCAGACTCCTGCCCTGCTCATCATGAGTAAAATTCCATGATTCTACAACCAACCTGCATTCATGATGGGATTAGGTGTACATGCAAGAAACATCCACATACAAGGTGCCAGACCAGGTGTACCTTGTGCGAAAGTTGGCATTTGGTCCATGTTGTCCTCCAGCTTCATGACATTTTGCACCCTGCTCTTCTTTGCCTACCTGGTAGACTTGGCTTCCTTCATTCTGTCTCCGATGCTAGGTTTTTGCAGTGTGTTAGTTTGCTTGTTCTGTGTATACATTGTAGTACTTGTGTGGGGTGCAGCCCTTGGCATTGAACTCCCAATAGAGGAAGTAGCAAAGTAACGATGTCTCCTATTTTACATGTGTAGTCAATATGTAAACATCACATATACAAGCATTGGGCAGTGATGGCAATAATCAGTGTGCATCATTTTCATTATGAATGTTTGATTCTCATTTCATATTTAGGTTTGACTTGATTATCTTGGTCAAGGTGTGATGCCAGTGACAACTATTGTCTTGTGCATTTTCTGCGATGCTCTGCACCAACAATAACAATCTTACCATATAACATCTCCTGTCATAGCCAATTTTCACCACACAGATGGCAGAACCTACTCATCACACAAAGCATTCCCACAACTGTCTCCATCCCTACATGCATTCTGGTTCATCATTAACATCCTTTACCCCATCTGCATCTTTGCACTCCTCCTGGCTGGTCTGATGCGACACAATGATCTGGGGTGCTTCTGGTAACTCTGGCATGCAATGAAATTGGAATGCCTGATTTTTGACAAACATATGCAGCAGTTAGTGGGAGCAATGGTGCTTCTACACAAGCAACACAGTATTTCAGTGCTAACTCTGGCAGTGCACTCTTTCCCTCCCTTGACACTGGTAGTAAGTACTGTTACTACACTCAATCCACTTCGCATCAACCCAGCATTGTTCCAAGATACCGATATTCAGTCTTCTAGCTCTGTCAGTGAGTACCTATTACTTTGCTCAATCTACTTTGCCTCAACCAAATGTTGTTCCAAGATACCCAGTTGTCTTTGGTTAATCTTGAAGCCTGCATCATCAGTATAGTGCAGCACCACTTAGCAGACCTCCAGGGACTGATGGATGAGAAATTCTGTGATGATATTGAGTGCATAACTGCAGATGCCATTGGTTTAGCTTTTGGAATCATGCAGAGGTGCACAAGAAGGGTAGGGTATCCTTGGTCTCAATTACATCTCTGCTTAGTGCTTCCTTGACAGCTTTCCCAAGTTGCTCCCCCACATAATGACAACTCCTGTGATTCAACCCAGGTCTGTTTCTCCACCTTCCTATGTTGTGTTCTGTCTAAGATAATGTACTGGCAGCAGGGGTGAACAGAATCAGTAGGATCAAAGAAATTGTTCATTCCTGGTGCATGGTCCCAATCAGATGTCTGTCATTAGACTAAGGTACAATTGATTATATTAGGGACAAACCAATAAGAAAAACACAGAGAAGCATGGCATTTGCAACCAGGCAACTAACTCCAAACAATGAGAATGCTGTCATGATTGATTGATCAGAAACAATAATGTGGGTAACAATAACATGCCCACCCTCATAAATGCCCTAATAAATTCCTCAATTCCTCCCAGTGACTGAATCAAACCGAATCCTCATGCCTCCTGTCAGGTCACAATGTGCAAGGTCTCAATCTGATCCTCCCCTTGTCCCCCACCCAGTGGAGGCTTTTCCCCTGTTATCCTTGCAGGCTGAGATAGTGTATCAGCAGGTCTGGTGTGTCATTGTGGTAGCAGAGCAAGAAATGAGGCCCATGAGCCATCAGACCTCTTTGGAGAATAGGAAGGAGCTGTGTAGGGCGCAGTCACCCCAGTCCAGTCAGATGCCCACTAAGGATACATCCAAATCACCTCAGTCACAGTTGCCCAATCAGGATACACCCAAATCACCTCAGTCACCAAAGACAGTCAGTTTCACTGGTGTTGATGTTGGGGAACCATGATCTTTGCCTTCACCCTTGGACTCCTCACTCACCAGCCTCAAGTCTATTGAGCTTACCACTAAAATTCAGAAACCACCCAGTGAGGTAGGCTGTCCAGGAAGGGGTGGATACAACCTTAAGGAGCACTTGCGATGGAGTGATGATGAGATGTGTAAAATCAAGGTATGTATGTCTTAGACGATGTGCATCATTAACTAAGGTAAGACTTGGCAGTGAGTCATCCACACAGCAGTGAAGAAGTATCTTGATATGATGAAAAGCAGGAGCTACCAGGATTTCGAAGCTGTTCAGAAAGTCACTGGCATTGTAGGTTGTTTATTGTGTCCAGAGTGAATTTACTCACCCACTTTAGGCCAGGCAACAGTTCCTGTGGCTCAAGGACTATGAGCACTGTTGGCCCATTCTCAATATGATCCACCTTTGTCTCAAGTACCTTTCATCAAGGCACTGGCAAAAGGTGAGAAGAGACACCTCACCCAAGTGAACTGTCAGACTTGAACTGTAGGTGGGTGCTCAATGTGCTGGATACAGCCAGCTCGAAGTACCTTGTACCTTTGTGCCTAGAGTCCATCATACACATACCTCCCACTCTGACTTATAGCTATCACCCACATATCCACTTGTATGCCCTATTGTTTAGATGATCACCACATGCCACCTTTCATGTCATCTCATATGAATGCAATGAGATCTTTATTGTGTTGTGCTTGTGAACTCCGCCTAAACCTAATGCACACTGAGTCTGCACATTCTAACCTACAATACTGAGGTTGACAGTGCATGTGTTGTGTGATTTTGCTGTGGCTACCACATGATCATGAGTTGTGTTCATTTTGTATCTATGAATTTGTTGTATTTCTAGATTTTTCTCCATCATGCTGCCTTTTCTGCCATTAGACAGTTGTAAGGTACTAAGCACAACTCATGATCATGTGTGTGTGTGTCAGGTTTGGCACTTTGCTTAAGCAGCTACCACATGATCATGAGTTGTGTTCAGTATATCAGTGGTGAACTTTCTCATGAACACTTTTTCCCTCTTTTCACCATCCCACAGGTAAGTGGCTGATGTACAGTGCTACCTGCATACTAACTGCATCCCATAGTTGTGTCATATCCTTTGCAGTAAGTCACTGGCATGATGTTTGATTCACAATTGCTCATCACAGTTCAAGCATTCCACCCAATAAACATGCATGGTAGGGTATTGTGAACAGCATCTGACTTGATTGCCACTGTGACAGTGATTGGTGACTCGAAGTACAATGTCTGAGTGCCATTGAGTGTTTAACCCAATAAATGTGCATTTGTATATATGTAGACAATGTCAACCATAATAATTAAGGTAGCTTGTAGTAACTTATCAAAGTGGGTGTTACAGAATTTCAATAATACCAGTGTAGACCAAGATATAATGAAATTGCACATGCTTGAGGTGATGACTTGGAAGCAATGATATGAAGCACATTCAGTAAAGATAAGCACAATGTATGCTGCATACTCAGTTATCGATCTGACTACATACCCCTAGATCATTCTTATTGTCCACATCAAAAGATACCATTTTTTGGCTTCTTGTCCAGGACAATAGCAGTTCTGGTTGCTGAGCTTAGCACCCATCCCCTCAAATAGCTGAAATCATCACCTTATATTGCTTTGTTAGTACTTCCCCCTCCACTCTATTTACTGCTCACTAGTTACCTCCAGCTCTATGATGACCAAACCAAAGGTGAAAATCACTGCCACTCTCCTCAATGACAAGGCATTTGCCTTTCTTGAGAGGTTCATGTGTGAAGAATTCACTGACACCACCCTCCTATTCAATGTCAAAATCAAGCTTGCTGTTGCTGGCATCACCTTTCAAATTGGAGGAATGGTTAGACCTGATCAAGATCATCATATTGAATCTGGGGGGCATGGGGATAAATGCCATCAAGGCTGTGTGGGAGCTCGAACAAGCTAAGGTAGCCCCAGTAGTTCCCTTGTTGGAAGATGCTGCTGCATGGCAGTTGGTTTTGCATTGGGCAACTGACGATAGCCTTTCCTTCAGCATATTCTTGATGGAGATGGAGAAGTTCAGCAACAGGTACCAGTTCAACAAGTGGAAGTCCATCTTCAACCAAGTATTCAAAGCCTCTTGGGAGGGTACTGCTGTTGAAGTCATTAGGGCAGCCATGGCTGAGCATGGCATCATTGAGCCCTCTAGTAAGTAGATCTTTAAATCCTCACAATTTACTGACATCCACCAGGTGTACACAATCCCCCTTGCTGAGGCTTCTTCCTCCTGTAAGTAAACTTCTCAAAGCAATTTTGTAAACCAATTCATTCTGTATCTCACAGGTGATGTCTCCCATGTCATCCTCTCCCCCCAAGCTCCTTCATCACAGACTCATAAGCCAATGTTCACCTTAGGTTTTGGATCCCTTGCTAACCACTCAATCAGGCAAAAGCTCATGCAGATCCCACTGCTCTCTATGCCCAGTGAAGCATCCAAGAATGAGCATGTCTGCTTCTCAATATCTGGATATTTCTGTGCAGGAGGATGAAGAGGACAAAGAGGAAGACAAGGAAGATGAACTAGACAATGAAGTGGACCACAATCCAAGGGTGACCAAGATAGCTCCATCAGGGTGCATGAATCTAACTCAACAGCTCGAAAGCCTTTTCCACCACTATGGTGGCAAGGGGAGTGCAGAAGGGTTGAGGGCGAAGGCACATCAGCAGGGCCCAGTTCGTAATGTCAAAGATCATATGGAGGTGAATACAAATCAGACTCAGCCAAGAGTATTCAAGGTTGTGCTGCCCTCCAGTACATCATGTCTCCTCTTCACTCCTTCACTCAGGAACTTACCTGGTCCCCATTAGCTCATTCTGCAGGATTCATCCTCCAGCACTTCAAGCTGGAGGGCCTGGAATGCAAGACCTTCCATTCAGTCCCTTGCCACATATATGTGGAAGCTCCCAGCATGCATGACATCTGACTCAGGCTCCCCCCTTCACATGCCAACCTTGCCCCACAGATCATGCTGGTACCAATGGAAGAAATGGAATCCTTTGCGCAGCCCTGTGACATACCCATTCACTCTTGGGTTCACTTGTTAACAGGCAGCCTCAAAAATGAAATCACCTATGTACAGCACATCAAAGGTGACTTGGTGTACATTCTCATCATTCCTTGGAATTTGCCCTACATCTCCAGTGGTGAGAACTCTGCAGTCTGCCAGGAGCTTTTGATGTGGACCTGGCCTACAAACATGGCCTGGAGGTAACCCTTACCCTGAGTCCAGAGGGGTGTACTATCACCCACTGCCTCCAGTCTCAGTACCACTGTGGCCTTCTTCACAGATATTTTCGAAGGTGTAATGTTGAGCCAGTGAACCTGCCTACTCCTGAGCAAATTGCATGGTTCATCGTGTTGGGTGTGGATCCCACTTTGGTCACACATACCTTAACTTGTTTCTCTGCTCAAAGGTGGCAGGTAGGGGACTGTGGCAAGATTCAGGCTGGGGAGTTTGTCAACAAGGTAGCCTACATCATAATGGACATCCAAGGTGAATCAGTGATTGTTTGTTTGGATAATCCTATGTTAGATTTGGCAAGTCACATGTAGCCCGTTCTGAATGCATCCGCTCTGGGTTGTGAGAACTAATTTCCGCTTTAGCCCCTTTTCTTACTCAACACTATTACTGAACGCGCAAACTAACTCTCTGCATCCTTATGTTTATTGTATTTACAGTGTCTCGCACTTATGTGCAAGTCCTCTTGTTATCCACAAAGGCCATAGTGCATCTCACAACGAGACAATACTTATTGTAAACGGGTTCAACACCTGGTGTTTCACTTCTATTGTTACATTACAGTATTTAGTTCTGCACTGTAGACCCCATCACCTCAGACATTGTTGCTGTCTGCGCACAACTGAGGTGAGTACAATATCCTTCTGCTTACTTTACTATGCTTACTGCGCACCTAGTTACTTGTATAGGTAAATATATATAGATGTTGTTGCTGTCTGTGCGTGACTGAGTTACTTGTATAGATACTTCTGTGAGGTTATGAGCCCCAAGCTCTAATAGCCTACGAACATCTCACCATCGTTTCGATATTCTCGCTGTTAAATCGGCCCTCATCTCCCCGTGATGACCACTGCTATCCCCATCACCACCGATACACTCCCGGGCAACATTCCAAAGCTTGATATCAAAGGTGCAAACTGGGCGATCTTCTCCCTTTGCTTCCAGACCGCTGTCGAAGCTAAGGAGCTATGGTCCCACTTTGATGGAACCTCTCTTTTCCCTGCTGGTATGACCTCCACTGATCAGGATGGATTCGTGACAGTAGTCCCTCCCAATGCTGACGAACTCGCTAAGTGGCAGAAAAGTGAAAATATGGCAAAACATTTACTTACTCAATGGATCCCTGATTCCACTGCCCTTTGGGTGCGTAGCCTTAGCAGCGAGGCTGCCATGTGGAATAAGATCGTTCACAAGTACACCGAGAAGGGAGCTTATGCTCAAATGGATCTGCAAACAAAGTTTTTAGGCATGCAATGCCCTGCCAACAGCAACATCCACCAATTCCTGGACGATCTGCATATGAAGAGAGACAAGTTGGCAGCCATCGGCGTACAGATCAAAGACAAGGACTATCAATTGACCATCATCCAATCCTTACCCAAATACCTTGCCAGCTTCGCATCTGGTCAGCTTGCAACCGCTCATTTGTACAGCCCAACACAAACTGTCGACCCCAATATTCTCATCTCCCTTATTATCAAAGAATCAGAAAGACGAAGCCACAAGGAGATGTGGCACTCATGTCCTAAGCAAAGAACCCATGAAGGCAACATAGCCTTGGCCATGACCCCTGGAAACTCCTCTAATCAAGGACGAGGGAGTTGGAGAGGTTGAGGAGGAAGCTCCAGAGGGCATGCTCGCCAGTGTGGACCCTGCTGGAACTGTGGGTTGAGGGAGCACTACAAGTCTCAATGTCCTGATCCTGATAAAAAGAAAGAAGCTACATCCACTGCTACAAATGGATCTGCTCATGCTGTGATGCTTGACTCTGATGAAGAGGGCACTTTCTTGGCCCACACCTTGGACGAGCTGGATGATGAGGTGACACTCCCTGATCTATTGAGCATATCCTCGGATGATGATGACGAATATCAGCAACACTTCACTGCCTGTGATGAGGACTGGTTCAGTGAGGTGGAGGAAGTGGATGGTGAGGACTCACCTTGCGGAAACAGCTCGAGTCCTGATGAGCCCACTGAAACCTCCCCAGAGTTCACAAACCTTGTAAACGACAGCCCTATTAATGCACGTGTCGTTGAACTCTATGATTCCAGATCCACTCGTCACATCTCCCCCTACAAGGAGAGATTTGAGGCCCTAACAAGCATACCGCTGTGAGTCAAAGTGAGGTTCAGTGGTGAAAACCAACCAAAACCAACACAAAAGACAATGAAAGCGAGTGGTGGTGTGCCTATGCAGTACCTAGATGGTAGAACCTGTTCTTTGGGAGGGTTTTTGCAAGCTACAACACTCAAAGATGAGTGCTGAGGGTTTGGGGAGCTCCTGATGAAGAGGGAGCAAGAATGTGATAGAAAGCAATAGGGTAGACTGCTGTCAGCCTACAGAAGGATGGATGGTGACTTAATTCGATGTCCTAAGCTGTACTGAGCTCAGGGAGGGCTTGGAGCGAAGTATATGGATGATAGATGATGATAAGCGAAGTAGATGATAGCTAGACCCTTAATAAAGTCTCAACTATCAAAGCTGATGAATGATTTACTGAGAGATGATAAATTGTGAGCAAGAGGGGCTCTCTGATGTCTTCTTTTTTTTTTTTTTTTCTACCTAAGTACAGTGACTTATATACAGCACAGGGGCATTGCCTATGGAAAACAAGGTGCAAACACTTGGTAAGTGATTGGTAACTGATGAGTAAGGAATGTAAGCAATGGGTAATTGTCTTGGAAAGCATTGGTAAGCATTGGTAAGGATAAGTAAGCCAAAAAGTGAAGAATCAGTAAGCAAAGTCAAAAGATTGGTAAGTATTGGCAATAGGTGAGTCAAAGACAGTCAGAATGTCACAGTATGAGTCAAGCAATGTCAGGAACTGGGAAAGTGCACTGGAATCACATTAGGGGGAGGCCGTGCATGTCACATCTCGAAGAGATCACTTCTAGGCCAAAGTGGGATGACAGAGAGGCAGCGCTGATCTGATGCCAATATAGTACATCCAAAAGTGGACAGGGTGAGTCAGATGTCAACAGGGGTCAAGCTTTGGGGGTCTGTGGGGTGACAGGAGCATAGGGGATCGCAACTTTCCCCCCCAAACCATCCTCTCAGTGAAGCAAATAAAAACTTCATGAATGAGGCTCTGTTGGAAGAGAGGATGAAGGGGGAGCATCTTCTGCTGTATCTTGCAACAAGGAGGCAAGATGTGCATCATACTCGTCATGGATGCGATCAGGGAGAGTGGAGATCAGTAGATTATACTGTAGCTGTCACAATTTTGGAAGAATGACGGACGAGACTGGTATGAAGATGTTGCAGGGGGCAGGGAGGAAGGATCCATATGCTTCTTGGACTGGAGAGACTGAAACAACCACATAAGACCTTTCCAAGCAAATGACAGACCTGAGGCGACCAAAGAACGTCCTCCTGGAGGTCATACTGACAAGAAGAACATGCTGTCCAAGCTGGATGGGCTGAGAGGGGGCAGATGAGGGTGGGATGTACCAGGATGCTTCAGGACAGAAGCTGGTAGGAACTCCTGGTAGATATATATAGCCATGGTCCCTAGCAAAGGGGACAAGCAAAATGACTGATGTGGAGGCAGCCATATCAGAAGAATTAGCGAAATGAGCGTCTTTTGGAGGGAGTGCTGTAGAAACGTGTGGAGTGTGCAAATCCTTTCCAATCTTGGAAGGTAGGATTGCGTGGCTGAGCACTACAAGCGAGTGTGGGAATGGTTTCGGTGTCTGCAGAATTGGTGGAGATACATCAAAAACTGGAATGCTGTACATGGGTGCTTAAGAATTTTATTGGCACTTAACTTGCCTCCTCCTTTTTCTTTGGCATTGACAACTTGTTCTTGTGCAAGGGATGACTGCCAACATTGCTGGCTGTCCTTCTTCGCATGAGGGCTATGGTCTTCACCTCCATTCATCAGCTACATCCATGTCCACCTCACCAAACACCTTTGGTGTGTGACAGTGTGTTGACCATAAAGTCAAACCAGTGCCAGGAGTCTATCCAGAAGACGCTCGAGTCCATCATTGATTTCCTGAAGACCCCCTCGCATCACTCACACCACTTACTCGTCACCCTCCGACCTTTGTTCCCACGAGGAAGCTTACTCAGGAGCGCCTGGCTTCCATGAAGGTTAATGCCAATGGCTTTCTCTGGCCAGAAGAGGAAAAACTTTTTTCACATGTGATGAAGCTAAATGAATGTGCCTTGGCATTCAATGAGTCTGAGAGAGGAAACTTCCGCTCTGACTACTTTTCACCTTACATCATCCCTGTCCTACCACACGAACCATGGGAGTTCCGTAACATTCCAATTCCCCCTGGCATAAGAGAACGTGTCATACAGCTTCTTTGGGAGAAGATTGCTGCTGGACTCTACCAACTGGCCCAGTCATCCTATCGCTCCAAGTGGTTTTGTGTTATGAAGAAGAATGGAAAGATCCACATCGTCCACGATCTACAGCCTCTGAATAAGGTTACCATTCAGGACACTGGTGTTCCGCCAATATTAGATGACTTTGTGGAGCCATTTGCTGGCCGACAATGCTACACCATCTTTGATCTATTTTCAGGTTTTGATGCATGCCAACTCCACCCCAATAGCCGAGATCTGACGTCCTTCATGACACCTCTTGGCTTACTGCACCATACTGCCATGCCTCAAGGCTACACCAACTCACCATCAGAATTTCAGAATTGTACAGCATTCATCTTACAAGA